CTACCTACACTACGCCACACACTACATACACTTCCACACCAACAGCGACTCCCGGCTGCTGCATCCCACCTATCCTGGTTCCCCCCCCCACCGCACCGTCTCCTGGTCCGTCTGTCTCCCCCTCACCAAATCCAAAGCGTCCTCGCGCATCTCGTTACTCCAGCAAGGGGGAGCTCGGATCCCTGCGCGGCTGACTGGCCTCTGCCGTGCGTGTCACTCATTTTTCTCTCTCTCTCACTTGCACATCTCCAAAAACCGCCTTCTTTTCTTCCTTCTACGAGCACTGTCATCGTTCCCCAGAAAAGTGGACTTTTGTCACCGTTAAAGCTGGATTGTGGCCTCTCGGGCGAAACAAAGGGGCGCTTGCCGAGCTCAAGGTTTTCTAGCGCAGGCCGTCGCGTGCTGTCAGTGGCTGGCACACTTTTTATTTTTTTTATTTTTTCCCCAGCCGGTTTGTTTGCATTGGATCGAGGCGTTCTGAGACGGGTTGAGTGAGAGCATTCGCATCTGGCGCGCTTAGCCCACCTGGCCTCTCACCCCCGGGAGCAGAAATTCGGCTCGACGCCCTGCCAGACGGCAGCTGCCGGGCGCAAGCCCACAGGCGAACTGCAGCGGTACGAGGACGATACAGAGGCTCCGACTTCTGTTGCCCAGCTTCTGTCCCTCGCAAGCCCGAAGCTGGCCAAGTCATTGACTCGCCTCCCGTCGACCTCTTGACCTGCTGTCCGTCCATTCCTCACGCAACGGGGGCGGCAGCTTCAGCCCATCTGAGGCCAAGATCAGCTCCGCCCGGGTCGGAATTTTCGAGCTAAGTAGCTAAAACTTCGGCACGATGGATCCAAGACGGTCGCCAGCTCTCTACAACCACAACCACAACCACAATTACAACCACAACCGCCATCACGCCCGACCGCATTTTCCTCTGCCCCCGAACTCGACGTCGGCGTCGACCTCGTCAGCAGCACCGCCGCCAGCCTCGCATCGCATCGCCAGCCCTGCTTATGCCCACCAGCGCCGCACCTCGGACGCGCCCTACCGCCCTTCGCACGTCCGCGACTATCCCGAGCCCAGTCATTCGCGTGCCCAGAGCGCCTCGTCGCTGCCCACCGCTCGCGAGCTGAGTCGCAACATGCCGCCGCCCACGTCGCCTCCCCAGCAGCCGGGGATGCAGCAGCAGCATCAGCAGCATCCCATGTCGCAGCATCACCAGCAGCCTCACCCGCCCCAGCCTCATGCCATGACCTACGGGCCACCGCCACCGCGGCCTCCCCCCGTCGCCGTCGGACCACCCAGCGCCTTTCCTTCAGGCCGTGAGCTCCCTGCTCTGGGATCCATCGCGCGCGCTGGCTCGGCGTCTGGCGGCAGCTCCATGTCTATTTCGTCCATGCTCGGCGGCCCGCCACCAGCCTCGCGAGATGCTCAACCTCCCTCGACTGCCCAGCAGTACGCATCGCACTCGGCCCCGACATCTGCCTCCACCTCTGGCCCTGGCTTTGCGGCATCTATCCAGGCTTCGCCTCGAATGCACTCTGCGTCATCCGAATACCCTCCCTTTCGACGGCCCCAAACCCCCGAGCTTCAGCGACCGTACGACCCTCGAGCTGGCACCGCGCCATCCCCTCGAGGTCCCTACGCCACGACCCCCGACGTACAACGATACGGCACACCGCAGCAGCAGCAGCCTCCCTATCACTCGCGACACCCCTCGAGCTCGACCGACCCGTCACGAGACGCGGCAAGACTGCCTACAGCACCGCCGCCTCCTGGTCAAAATAATGCTCAGTCGAGGCCGTACGGTGGCATGGCGCCTCGGCCGATGGAAGTCGGGAGGGTGCCCGGTCCGGAGGACGCTTACGGCCGTCGGGAGGAAATCGCGCGGTCAGCAGCGGGCCTGGATTACGGTGAGAGGGCTGGCCTGAGGCCTTATCCGTACGATGATCGCTACAGGGCAGAAAGGGAAAGACAAAACGCCATCGGACTAGAGCAGCAGCAGCAGCAGCAGCAACAACAACAACAACAACAACAACAACAACAACAACAACAACAACAGCAGCAGCAGCAGCAGCAGCGAGAACGAGAAGGGAGGGAGCGAGCGTATTCTGGTGGTGACCCGAACCGACATCCGCTGCCGCCGCATGACCAGGCGCATCGCGAACCCCCGGTACATCAATCTGCCCCCTACGGCGCACCCCCTGCTGAGCTCCTCGACCGGCGCGATCCTCGGGACCCTCGCTGGGGGCGACCGGAAACCGAGGCGAGCTACAGGCCCGCGCCCATGGACCACCAGCGGCCACACCCAGACTATCCTCCTGCCTCTGGACCCTATGCGCCTCATAGCTCTTCAGCGTATCCGACAGCGCCTCCTGAGAGATTCCCTCCAACCTCCCACCCAGCGTATCCTCAAAGCTCAACTGGCGCTGTTGGCCCACCTCAGCCTCACGAGTCTCCAGACAGAGCCCGAATGGAGCTTCACCACGCCCAGCAGCAGCAGCAGCAGCAGCAACAGCAACAGCAGCAGCAACAGCAACAGCAACAACATCAGCAACAGCAACAGCAGCAGCAACAGCAACAACAACATCCTAGACCTCGACCTCTTGACGATGTGCCTCCGCCTCATTCGTCGGCGCCTTTTGGTGGTGCCGTTGGACATCACCAGTTTGACCCGGCGCGGAACAGAAATGTCGACGACCCATCCGGACCTGGCATTCACCAGCGCAACCTGCTGGCCATCCAGGAGATTAACCGCAAAGGGCGCGTATCCCCGCTCCCGCAGGCCGTCCAGGGTGCGCAGCCCCAGCAGCCAGGCCCCGCTGCAGAACCAGGCATTAAGAGCGAGTTTGGTCGCATGTTTGCGGGCATTGGCAGCGGCGTGAGCTTGGGCGGCTTGTCCAGCCCCATCACCTCGGCCCCGGTGCCGTACGTCAACGCCGCGCTGGCCAAACGAGACGAGATGGACAGCCAAGGTCCGGATGCCGCACCAGACGGCGCGACCAAGGGCGCAAGGGGCAGAAGACGCAAGCACAATACAGACGAGAGTCGTGATGATGATAGTTCAGGCAGATTGACGCCGGTAGGACGTGGCACAAAGCGTGCGAGGGGCCATGGCCACCACCACCATCAGTAAGTTTTGTTTTGAACTTTGGATTAATCCGGGCAGCGGCATAAAAAGTCTAACCACGCATGTTTTCCATAGTCACCACCACCACCATCACCACCACGCACCCGAAAGCGCCGCCTCTCCGACAGTTGCAGTAACCACGTTCAAGAACTTCAAGGGCGCCGCACCGATGGAATCACCGACCGAAAAGATGCCGAACGCTGCGCATCATCACCATCACCACCACCATGCGTCGCGACCCGCGCAACCAGCCCAGGCCCCGAAATCTGCCCAGAGCCCCCCGACTGCGATCCCGTCCAAACCGCGAACCATTGTATCGTCCAAGGCTGTTTTGGAGCAAGTCGCTGGCCATCCCCGTCACCACTTGGGCGACTTCATCTACCAACCAGACCTGAAGGCGGGAAGGCTACTCCCCAGTACTCCCACACACCGCGGCTTCTCGTCAAATCCGAAGCCATTGCCGCTGGAACTGATCAAGGGCAAAGAAAACTGCACTCTGACTGTCAAAGTATCGCGCGTTCACCTGTCTTCGGTTGCTCGAGAGGAGATTACCGCCAGGGCATTTCTTTGGGGCACGGATGTTTACACCGACGACTCGGACGTGGTTGCGGCATGCATTCACGGGGGATGGATCAAGGGAGAATGGACCGAGGATGTCGATACGTCTCTGCTGGATCTGGAGCAAGGTCTCAATGGCGAAACGAAGCGGCGAAAGGTTAAGAACCCGGAGAACGAGCCCGTCAATGCTACCTCTGAAGGACTCATCTCCGCCCCTCCCGTCGCAGGCCCAATGCCCATCCCTGCAGAGCGCGACCTGCACGTGAATGTTTTGATACTGCCTCGACTCGTTAAGTACGCCCCATCCACGCGATACGGAATTACCAGCCGCGAGTTTGGCGGAGAATATGGATCACGGCACGCCGTCCACGATGGCCTGAGCTACATGGTCAAGAGCATCCGCTGGGTGCAAAATGGTGCCCAGCCCCAAGCCAGACTTCGCGGAAAAGGCCGACGAGAGCGCATGAGGGAGCAGGCGGCCAACTATGTGATGATTACGGGAATGGGCAAGGCTGATGATATCTTGGACGGCAAGCCCAGTCTGGGCAGCGAGATCTCCGGCAACTGGGGGAAGAGAAAGAACGCGGATGAAGTTCCCGAGGCTAAGCGCCGACACAGCGAAGGAGACAAGGAGAATCAACCTGACGAAAAGATGAGCGACACCCACTCTCAAGGGCACGACCAGGATAAGGATGTTGAGATGCGAGATATGGGAAATGAAGAAAAGGCGGCAACGGCTGAGGAAAAGTAATTTGGTTTCTATTTTCTTCTTCTTCTGTTAATTATTGATCCTTTTTTTTGTTCCATTGTCATGACGATCTGTTCAAGGGAAGGCTTCTGCTCTAACTATGGGATGGGATGGGGATGGGAATATCCCCCTTGGGAGAGGGAGGACTCATATATACGGGCTTTTGTATTTTGGGCGGACAGCAAAATAGCGAGGGGCAAATGCTTTGATTTTTTTTTGGGAGTGGACCAGGATGTGGCGGCCATTTTATATCCGGAGCTTCGCTTTTTTCTCTTTCTCTTTCTTTTTTTCTTTTGAAGTTTTTTCTTCTCTCTCCTCTCTGGGACATGAAAGAATACCCCCTCTACTCATCATGATGCGTGGGATAGTAATAGTACATGCTTCAGATTCTATAGTTGTAATGTACAATTCGTCGCTGCGTGCGGCGCTGGTATCTCCTCGCGGTTTGATCCTTTCCATCTTACATCCTTTTTCATCTCGTGGTGCCTCTCTTCCCTTTGTGCTGTAGATCCCCCCCTCTCCTTATTCGAATCTAAAAGCTTCGTTGGAATCGTCTTCTGTACCTCAAAACCTTGCTCAGAAATCCGTCACCCTGCCATTATAGCTCCAATCTCCATCGCCACCCCACCGCAAAGGCTCGTTCTTGGGACCGCCGACCTCGCCCGTCTTGGGATTCGTATCGCCCTCGAATTCCGGTGGCGCGCCGCGGAAGAGGCCCTGGTTGAGCGTATTCGTGTCGTCTGTCTTGACTGAATTTTGCGTCGATGAAGCAGAAACAGAAGAAGAAGAGGAAGCGGTTGTTGTGTGGCGAGGAGTTTCGGTAGAGGGGGGAGTCTGAGTTGTTGAAGCTTCTTGGAAGGCGGAGGACACGGCGGCGGCGCGCTGGAGGCGTTCGAATTCGGCTTGTTGGGCGGCGGGGAGTTTTGGGGGGGATGGGCGGGAGGAGAAGGATGATGATGGGCGGGTTGTTGTGAGGAAGATGTTGCGGAGGGGGAAGGGGAGGGGGAGACGAGGGCGGAGGAAGGGAGGCATTGTGATTGTTTGTTGTTGTTTGTTATTCGGTTTGGTTTGGTTGAATGTTGAGTGCTGAGTTTGGGTTGAGTTGAATTGGAGCTTGTTGGTTGTGAGTTGGGAGTTGTTGTAGGTTGTGATTTGAAAGCTGAAAGATGGTTGATGACGAGATGGAAAGAGACGGAGCTGATAGCCGAGGTTTAGGCTTGGTGGGGTGTGTTGGTTGTTGGCGTCGAGGGGTGGCTCTACGATGTTTACACGGCTCATCATAGATAGGTACGATATGGGAGGATGAGATTAACTACCAATAAAGAGAATCGTACGAATCCTTGTAACTTCACTCCAAGAGCAATCGACTCTGGATCTTTATGTTAAATCAAGCACATGAATAACCCAACACGCTACGCACAAACTCATATATCCATGTACACATACAATTGAATCCATCACGCATCTTCACTTACACGCTTCCACCTCCCTCCGGCCGCAACCACTCAAACGTATCCAGCAAATCAAAACTGAAAAACGAATTCAAATCCGGCGACGACAAGTCCATATTCCAATGCCCCCCCTCATCCAACATGTTCGTCTGCACCGGCGCCTCCAACGCCTGCTCCAACACCCTTCTCACAACCTTTTTAATACGAAAGCAAATGTCAGCATTCGGCGACGACGGCATCACCCAGTCCAGAAACGCCGCCAGCATCCCGAGCTTCTCCACGATAATGGCCTTTGTGCCCGCCGCGCTCATCGTGCCGTGCGCCTTGCCCCGGAGCAGCTCCATGCACAGGATCCCGCCCGCCGGAGCCGCGAACGAGGCCGTTGTCCATTCGACGCAGTCTTCGACCGTCTTGAGCCGGTTTTGGTGCGTCCAGAAGAGATGGGCTAGCGTTACCATCTCGAGGCTGATTTCGAAGAGCCGGGACCCTGCTTCTTCGCTGTCTTCTTTGCTGAGGAGACGCTCGATGAGGAAGAGGTTTTGCAGGTGCTCGAGCCAGATGAGGAGTTTTGCGTACAGGTCCTTGCCTGAGACGGCTGGGTTGTTGAGGTCGTTGTGTGAATAGAGTATGCAGGGTGGGAATTCGGCAACGATTTGCATCTCTCGCTTCTTCAAATTCCTGGACATGGTTAATGGCGAATTCTTACGGTGCTGTTAATGTGTGATTTCGTAAACTTACAAAAGTGCCGTCTTGCCCCCGAAATCCATGCTTTGTAGGGCAATCTCCAGAATTTCATCTCTTACATACGACAGCATGGCTCTTGCACGCAACGTTGTCGACAGATAAATTTTGCCATCGGTGCTCCATCCATTCTCATCCACGCGGCAGTCTGTGTAATCGGCGAGGGGAGGATTGGACAATAACAACTCTTCACTCATATCCAAAGGAAGTGGCGTTGAGGAGAATCTTCTACTGAGAAATGCCGGCCGCCCGGTGAACGTGGCCGTGACCTTGTCATGTGTGAAGATGGCGGCAAATAGCTGGCGCTTGGTCTGCGTAGTGACGGAAAAGTCCTTTGGGTTGGCGTTTGGAGAGACGTGGAGGCCGAGAAACGTTGTCATGGCCATGAGGTCGCCGTGTGTCCTCCAGTACTGCATGCCTGAGAGTTGAGATGCACTTGTTAGATGAATGCTTGACAGAGAAAGCAGCGGAGCGAGTTACCTGCATCCCCAGACTCGTTGGACTCCAACAAGCTGTGACCCAAAATAAGAAAGGCCAACATGGTGTTACTATTGGACGCATCACGACTGAGCTCTATGCACTTCCACGCGGCCATCTTGTACTGCTTCACAAGATCGCTTGCGTGAGTATTGTGCAGCGTCTCGCAGTCGCTGGATATGATAGTCCTCTCAGGCAGTCTTCGAGCACCGCCCGCCCAAAAGACGTAGAGCAGGCCAAGAGACTCCCACCGCAGATTCGCCCCTGAATACTCGGCAAACCACTTTTGCGGATCTGTATGAGACTCCCCAAGAGGCACCGCGCTGTTCCGACACAGCTTAAACGACATGCGCCTGAGAAGCTCCTCGTCCCGCGCCACATGATCCAGAGTCGTCCCAAACGCCGCCCACAGGGAATCATTCAGCCACCGCCCCGAGAGCGTATTCCAGCCGCCGTAAAAGCTTGTGTAGAGCCTCGTCAGCAGCTGAGACGAAGCTTTGTCGGGAATGTGTCGCAGGGCGCCGAGAGCAAGCTCATCTAGCCGCGGGAAAACCTCTACAATCTTGAGCGGCGGCATCGTGTCCGCCTCTGATTCGCACTTTTCCGTTACCGACAAGCTGTTTTGAGCTTCTTCATAGAATGCCGAGAAACTCGTCGCGCCGAGATACCCAACGTTGCTCTCTGAGAGAGTTGCCTGTGGCGATCTGCTGACGGGGACTGACATGGAGATGGGAGAGCCGTTTGCGGCCTGCGGTCTTAGAGATGGAACGGCGGCTGATCCCGACAAGTTGGTGTGGTTGTGCTGCTGGCCCGGCTGAGCCAGATAGACGCACTTGTCTGATACTCCTCCGCGGCGACATCGGGAGCATATGGGAATGCGGTGATCGCAGGCGACTTTTCGTCTTCGGCAGGGCTCGCAGGCCTGTGGGCGGCCGTTTTTGCGCCTGGGAGCTCCCGTGAGGGCGAGGTTTCCGTCCATGGCTGGTGTGATGCCGAGATGAGATGAGCTGAGATGTGATGAGATTCTCACTGAGTCTGAGGTTGCTCACTTACTTGAACATGGTATCATCGGCTTCATAATCCGAGATTAGTCATCTGTTCTTTAGCGTTGATAGAGGTTAAATGTGCTGTGTCAACGGGGTGATTTACTGCGATGTAATTCGATTGAGATTACCCGGAGCTTGGTAGCAGTGAGAAATTCCCATAATGATTTTGAGGTTTTCATCGTGTGTTTTGAGATATGATGGATGACTCTCGCCAAGCCACCAGTCATGCATGTTTCAAGACCGTAACGGAGTACTTTTGGCGCTACTTTACAACTAGAGGCTTCTAGGCACCTCTACACCTGCAAAGAAATATAGATGTAATAGAACCTATTAGAGAAGTATAGACATATGAGCAGTTGCTGGAGAAATACAAACATAATAGTAAATATTAAAAAAAAATATATAAGTAGCTAGAGTAGCAGATGCTTAGAAAACAAGCGTGTTATTAACGGCGTGGGTGTTCGAAATCTTCTCAGTCTCGGGTTTTCTGTCCTCCACTTGACCTGCACGTAGATTAATAGACTAGATTTCGTTTATCAAGACTCCTTCATAAGCGCCAATCAACGCGACCTGTTAAGGAGTCAGAAACTCTTACTCATTAATGTCTCCAGTGTACATTCGACTGTAAGGCCGAGAGTCTCGGTAGTATTAACAACTGTTGGAGTAGATTCGTCAATCTACCCCAACGCATCTTTTCTACCCCAACTCGCGTTCAACTTATACAGAGCAGCCCCATATCACTACTTCATTACGAGCACGGTGAGTCAGAGCAAGTAGACATCAGAGTGATGATCATTGCAGATGGATTTATAAGACGGTAATAAAGACCCCAAGCCCCCCTGTCCTTTATAAACAAATTTTCTAGCTTCTGAAACTAGCAAGTCCCATCTCCTCGTAGTTCATTTGACATGGCCAAGGGTTCACATAGCAACATGGCACCTTTAGTTACAGATGGCATCCTCCTAGACGATACGGCGAGTCCAGAATGGCACTCGAGCGTTTGTCTCACCAATGGCATCCGGAAGGATCCCACCATTGCCGATATCGATGCCCGTCGACAGGCAGTTGGAAAAATGGTGGCTCCGACGGGTGCCTATGCTGATTCCGACATGTTCAAATTGCAGTGTTCCAGAGTCAGTTCATCTTTTTGTAAATCCGTAAACTGCGTGTAACTTACCCTCGTGAACAAAGTCATCCGACAGGCCGGCTGCAAAGAGATGGGATAGTAAGTGCCATTTCTAGCTACTTCAAGGAGACACGTCCTCTCTAACGATGCCGTCTCAGATCACCTAACGGATGAATGTCGAGCACGAGCTCCTGGAATCTTGAAAGTAGCCGCGAGGTTTCTCAAGAGACCGGGAATGATTTCACTAGCTGGCGGTCTTCCCAGCCCCGACTATTTCCCATTCAACTCTATAAGTGCTGCGATTCCCGAGATACCTGGTGCTGCCGAGAGCGACCTATTCGAAGCGGAATCCATCATTACAATGGGATTACGCGACATCGCATCCGGAGATGCAGCGTTTGACCTCTCTGTCGCGTTAAACTACGGCCAGGCAGCAGGTTCAGCCCAGATGATTCGCTGGATTACCGAACACACAGAGCTCGTCCATAAACCTCTTTATGCTGATTGGGATACTTGTCTAACTACTGGGAGCACGGCTGGCATATACCAAGCGCTGCGAATGTTATGCGATAAGAACAGAGGCGACTCGTGGATGACGGAGGAGTATTGTTATGCTTCTGCCTTGGAGACTGCTCTCCCAATGGGCCTCAAGACGGTCGGTATCAAGATGGATGCCGACGGCCCCATACCAGAAGTCATGGACGAGCTTCTCACAAACTGGGACGCCTCGAAAAAGGGAGCTCGAAAACCACATGTCTTGTACACCGTGCCGACCGGACAGAACCCAACAGGATCAACCCAAAGCGCTGCAAGAAAAAGAGCGATATACAAAGTCTGTCAGAAACACGACATCTATGTCATCGAAGACGACCCCTATTACTTTCTTCAGCTACGATCCGATCCAACCCCCAGTCACAACTCTTCAAAGCTCCTTACCAACATATTCCTCTCCAATCTCACCCCTTCGTTTCTCAGCATCGACACCGACGGCCGGGTAATGCGCATCGACTCCTTTTCGAAAGTCGTCGTCCCCGGAGCAAGAATGGGCTGGGTGACGGCCTCCGAGCAGATAATTGAGCGTTTCATCCGGCACGCTGAAACGGCGAGTCAAGGACCCAGTGGCTTTTCTCAGGCTCTCATATATAAGCTAGTTGACGAGAAATGGGGTCACCAAGGATTCCTCGACTGGCTGCAGCATCTACAGGCAGAATATACTGAGAGAAGAGACGTGTTGCTGGCTGCGTTTGACAAGTTCCTGCCAAAGTCGATTGTGAGCTGGAACTCACCGAGTGCAGGCATGTTTGTAAGTACATATGAAGACCCAAGAGAAATGAAAGCACAAGGACTAATTATGATTGCGACAGTGCTGGATCAAAATTAGCCATAGCTTGCGGCCCAACGCAAAACTATACTCTGCTCTTGATATCGAGGAGGAAATATTCGCTGCGTGTCTCAAGAGGGGCGTCCTAGTAGCAAAGGGCTCCTGGTTCAGAGCCGAGCCGGATTTGCCTCTGGACGACGTGTTTTTCCGCCTCACGTTTGCGGCGTCCAGTGCTGAGAATATGGAAGTGGCTGTTCGAACGTTTGGAACGGCTCTTCGAAATATTTTTAGTCTGGTGTAAGCTTAACGCGCTGCATACAGAGAGCATATACGGAGTCGAAGGAATTAATTGGACTTTTGCCTAGTGACGACGTTTTGAACATGAACAACTAGCTTGGTATGAATATTTACTATGAAAAGATGAAGCCTTTCTATTGGAGTAATACAAATGATATGTTTAGCCTCTTACCGTAAATTACAATTCTCATTGGATTTCATTATAACATTCCAAGGTGGACGCATATCGATCAGCCGCCTCTATACATGAACCAATCGCATCAAACAAATGCGACTGCTTGAACATCTCCGTAAACAGTTTTAACACCGAATACGCCATCTGTTTAATCGTCGTTGTGCTGAATTCGTCATCCAGGGCGGGATTAAAGAATGGAGTTTCTTTTAATATCCGCGCAATGACGCGAACCAGCACCTTCTCCTCATCATGCAACAAGTGGCTCTCTAAGCTCGCTCGCTCCAACCATTTACTCAGAAATAGAGCACATTCCAGATTAGCAATGCTGTGAACAATGCTCCAGGATACAATCTGGGTTTTTGACGCATATCTCAGGCCAATTCGCACTGGTATGCTGAGCGCATGTGCACTTTGGAGAACTGCCGAGTATAGGCGCGGCGAGCGTTCTGGTAGGGGGCATCGAGCAAAAGAGGCTGCAATCACGGCAGGATCTCTGCTGCTAAAGTTCCGGCTTGGGACTGCATTGAAGCAAAGTCTTATCCAGGCGATCCGAAACACGGCCGTGGCGTTGAAACCCAGCGGTGCCATGTGGGCAATGGGCTGTGTTGTGGATTCCCTGCTCGAAGCCCAGCCGCTATCCCAACGGCAGAGAGCCCGCCTAAACTTCATGTAGACGTCTTCCGACAGCGGTGTTGTATCGAGATCCGCACCCGACGTATCAATGTGTAATAGTGTGTCCCTCGTGAGCTGGATCTGCTGCACGAGACCATGAATCGAAACCAGACATCCAAACGCTGAAGTTCGATGGTGCGGACCTCGAGCTTCACGAGGGACTACCAAGTCCGAGTAATAATCACCAAAAGTGCGGCATATGGGGGGATCGCGTCGCCGGATTTCCTCCCATTCGAGTGCTGTGGCAGCCCACCAGTGAGATTCCTGCTGTGGCATTTTGATCGACCAAAGCTCACGAGCCATGAGCCGCGGCGGTGTGTCATAGAAGATCGAATGTAAGTTGAAGAGGATAAAGGCGATGAAAACGGTTCGTCTGCGTCCTTCGCGTCGAATCCATTGCAACCAAGTCTCATCTTCAGATGGATCCTCTTGGCACAGATAATCTCCCTGGTGTAAGTGTAGCACGATTTGTTCAGCCAGAATGAAAGCATCTGGCAATAAGTTCTTGTACTCCCATGAACATAGGGACATGCAAATGATCATGGCTTGAATTGTCTCGATGTTTATGGCTGGTTGGCTTGTATGGCCTGCCGAATTCGCCGCAATATTAGGCATGGCTTCGAGCGCTGGCCTTGCCTGTATAGTCGAGTTGCGCGCTGCTTCCACTACGGCTGCTGAAACTTTGTTGAGTCTCGCATCTATGATGCTTTTCGCGGCGTAGTATAAAGACAAGGCTGGCTCTGCCTCAAACCGATACTGCGCGCCCATTGCAGCCATCGCGAAGACAAGCTCTAGAGGCATTTGAGAGAGGCTTTTCGTGGACAGTTGCAGAAAAGGTCGGTGCAAGTTAAACCCGGAGAAACCTTCGATATACCTGCTTAGGGTGTGTTTGGAGGGGAGCTGGAATTGTAGGGGGAGAAGAGCAGCGTTATCTTGAACAGAAGCTGAAATTTGGTCGTAGTCTTGGGGGGACATGTAGCACGGGTTCCTCGGCGCAGAGGGCAAGTATGCTTCAGCACTCGGGGAAGCAGTCGATACGTTGGGTAATCTAGGACGAGGAGGTATTGTGGAATCTTTGAGAGGCAGCTGGCGTAATAATTCAGAGGCACATGGCAAATCATCCTGCCAGATAGATTCCTCCGCTCTGCCTGAGACCTCGCTGGCAGGTGTCGTCGTCTCTGGCAACGGTTGTATATCGAGGGAAGGCGCAAAGTCAAATGGTTGAAAGTTCATGGGAAATTCTGGGCTGAAAAATGAAAGGTCAAAAGGGTTGTGTTGCAGCTGGAAGCTGTCCCAGAGCATGTCCAACTCATTCGTGAGTGCTGTTGGAATCAGGTTGGCAGCCTCGGGAGGGGAGACTTGAGTGTCACTCGTAGACAGAACCGAATCGGTATTTGGACCACTATCAGTTCTAATCTCAATGGCCGATCCAAAGTTCAGCATAGAGGTTTCAGAGTTGTCAACCGATTTCCTTTGTCGATTCGGGACACTGGGGCTGAGAGGCCCATGCCCCTCGGACTCTTTGGCTAACTTCACATGGCGAGAGAGTAGGTCTCTATTGCTGATGAGTACTGGGAAGAATGGGATTTACAAGGGCAACGATTCACATACTGACGTGAGAAATTCCGTCCACAGATACAAGCGTGGGGCTTTTCTTTGGTATCTGCCAGAAGTCCAAATCAACGGGGTTAGTCGGTCATTGAACAAGATGGGGAGTCTCATAGAATAGAATCGCGTACGTGTTCTCTCATGCCGGCGCAAGTGTTCAGTCCTTAGAAAGGACTTGTTGCAGAACTGGCATGGGGGCACTTTGACCTTGTGCCGCATCTTGCCTGATACATGTCGCTGGCGTTGCGTGAGTCGCCTCTTACATGAAGATGGCTGGAATCTACCCCAAATTACTCCGTCCGATGAAGCCAAGAGGCCCACACAATATCACACCGACAACGGCGAAGCACATGTAATATCACATGACGTGACTCAGTGTAAGCCGGGTTTTGGAAAAATAATAATCCATCAGCAATGCTCCTTGTTTCATTCCGCTATTTCAACCTGAATCCATTCCTTTGACGAAGGGGTAAGACAGATTATGAGCTGATAGTTAGATTCTACTTCTTCGATTCGGACTATATCAATCAACCAAGCTATTTTCTATATTCTTGCTCATCTAGATCAATGCATTGTTAATTACTTCAGAACTTACCCTTCAATTGGAGTGTAGATCAACACGTCCAATATACGCAGTATCTGGGTTTTCTCTCCATGGCCTTTGGGATACTGTGGCACTTTCCAGAATTAATTATTAACAGTATAGACCCCTATTTGTCTGGATAATATTCGCACAGGTAAGGCGACCTCTTCATAGAAGGATAATGGGGACATATTTATAACAAGGGGAATTCTGGCCAACACCCCAGCTATGCTATCCAGCATCACACGTCGCGAATTTTTAAAAAAGCAAATGACTGATGAATAATGATACCAGAAGCTAATTATAGAAAGACATAGCCGTAGTAGCAGATACTAGATAAAAATCTCGATAGTAGCAGAGAGTAGTGGCAGTAGCAGATACATGAAGATATTTAAGCACCTTTGGTATTTAATTTTTATTAGATATCTGTAAGTGAGAAAATAAAACGTTTCCCTTTGCGTTCTATTCTGACACTTGAACCTCATGCAATCACTGAGGTGCTAGCTAGCATTTCCCTTACATTAATCGTGGTATTATGACAAGATTATATGGTCATTGTAAATTACCAAGCAAACAACCACAGTGGCTTCAACATAGGAATAAAGTGCATGCAGAACGAAATCAAATTGGTGACATGCCCATACCGCTAAACTCTCTCAGCATCTCTCTTAGCAGCCTCAGGTAGAACAGCAGAGACATCCTCGATAGTATTGCTCTTAGCATAATCAAGCTTTTCGTCCGTATCATATACTCCTTCAACCGTGTCTCCAAAGAGCTCACCGATTTGTTCAAGGGATAATTGGCTAGTCTGAGAAATAATCAGCATCAATACGGTAAAGAGTGAGATGAGCCATTTCAGCGCCAAAACGAGAAACAGAGGACAACTTACCTCGGGACAATAAAGCCATATGAAAGTGCCTATCACAGTCGTACAGCCAATGAAAACCAGGTAATACTTCCAGCCAATAACTGCAAAGGCAGTTGGCGCACACTGTAAGAAGATGATGGTGGCAACAAAAAGGCCCGAGACAGATACTGCAAGGCCCTTTGCACGCAGCGGGGTTGGAAATATCTCGGAAGCATAGATGTAAGAGGTGGCATCGGAAGTCGATGAGAAGCAAGCCATGTGCCAGAAGAGAAAGAAGACAGCTGCTCCAGCCACGCTTCGTGAACCTGTGCGTTGGAAGATACTGACAGTGATGCACTCGCCAACAAGAGCCGTGATGACACCAGCAAAGCCAACAACAAGCAGACGCGTACGGCCAACACGGTCTACAATAAGCGAGTTGATGATGTTTCCAAAGGGACACACGGTAATCCAACCGCATTGAATCAGAAGCTGACGAACGGTAGAGAACCCGAGAGCTTTATATAGCGTTGGGCCATAGTCTAAAACGCAGAGTCAGAATTGCTTTCTTCCCTTTCTCATGATGGTTTATGACATACTATTAATCACCAAGGTCGCAGTTCCCTGGCAGCCAAACAAGATAAGAAAACCAATCAGGCACCTTTTACGCATGCCAGGCGAAGTAAAGAGATCGATGAATCGATGCTTAGCCATCTTCTCGTGTTGAATGAGGCTTCTAAGCATGCGAAACTCTTCCAGAATAGCTGTCCTATCCTGAAGCATTGAATCATCAGACTCTGCTCGTACCGCTTCGAAGGCCTTGAGAGCCTCGTCTGGGCGATCCTGATCTAGAAGCCATCGAGGTGATTCGGGAAGAAACGAGATACCAATAGCGAGAAACAGAGGCGGGAGGCACTGGATAGCCAGCGGAAGACGCCACTGTGCACCAGACGCGTTCACAAAGAAGAACCCAAGGCCGACCCAACTGGCGAGAGCGTATCCGATACAGATCATGACACCGTGCATACCGACGAGAAGGCCGCGAATACGAGGCGGTGCAATTTCGGATTGGTAGAGGGGGATGAGGACGACCATGGAACCTAAAGGGCACAATTAGTGGTGCGAAGAAGTGTATCCAGGTCGTACAGTCATACCTATCCCAAGCCCTGTCACGAAACGAAAAACGAGATACATGGCGATATTGACGCTGCCTGCCTGCAGAGCGCCTCCAATAAGAGCAATGATGGAGGTGAACAAAATGGCACGCTTGCGGCCAAGCCAGTCGGCGGACTTGATGCAAGACAAGCACCCGAAGAGACCACCAGCCTGGAAGAGTCCATTGATGGCACCCTCAAGCTGTGTGGCATTGGGTCGAGTATCGAGTTCAAAGTATGCGATAAACGACGGCTGTCCAAGAGTCGTGGCGATGATACTGGAGCAGTAACCATACGTTACACTGCCGAGGGCCACAAAGGCCACGATCTGATAAGGCGAATAGTCAGTTGATGCCTTAAAGATAATCATGAAGCTATAGGACTGCAACGTACCAGGATCCGAAACAATGCCGGCGAAATCATTTGGACTGCTGAATTCAATCAACGTATGAGATGAAGCATCCAAGAGGATATTTTTGGGAGGCTGTCGATCGGAGAGAATAAGGAGAACAAATAGTCTTACAAAGTTCCACAGACTGGAACCGCTCCCTTTCACCGCATGTCAAGCTAGTAACAGCCACCCAAGTCCTCTTTCAGGACCATCCGGGATGTAGTCCACTAATTCGCTAAGAAGCCGAATCTCGGCATCTTGAGTTTACCAACGATTTTCGCCCTCACAAATAGCTGTAATTTGACTGTATATCCTTTCTCTCCCGTTACCCCGGATTACGCTTCTCCTTTACCCCGCAGACCCCAGCTGAATCGTGAATTAATCGATGTGGGGAAGTTTGAGACACCGATGCTCACGATGGACTCGTGTTTATAGCTGAAGAGGCTGCTGCTCGTTCCCAAGCCTCCCAGAATGTCGAACATCGGCTTGGCCACTCCGAACGCAACATGATGTCGATTGACAAGTATAGTTTCCCACCCTTTGATGACCTGCCGTCTGTTCCGGGGCAACCACAGGGTTGTCTATGGGGATTTTTCGACAAGGATGGAAAGGAGGATGAACTTGGTAGTGAGCTAGACATGCTCCCTTGCATAATCTTCTTGGAAGTTCTAACCTAGACTCCGTAGCCCTCAATCTTCTTAACGCCGACACTGTGAGAAATGCCTCGCTTGAGATTCGTACCGGGAAGCACGTGCAACTGGATTGGCCTATGAATAACCTTGAATTCCCGGGCTTCGGTCGCATTCCCATTGAGCATAATGTGAAGCAAATGGCTTCAGAGGGTTTCCTCGGGCTTGATGATGAGATCAAAATCAATACCCAGACAAGCTCTCAGTGGGATAGCTTGAAACACGTAAGTTGACTCATAAGATGAGTATACGAATTCAGTGCTAATATTCTATTCAAGTGGAGTATACAGAAACAAGGCTTATTCTATAACGGTTTGTCCATTGAAGATGCATTAAAATCACCACGAAATGGGTTTCACAGTCAGTCCTTACACCCTACATTGCCCTCTCAATCAAGGCATCTAACCCAGATTAGATGTTTGTGAACGAGGTGGAATAGTTGCCAGAGGAGTGTTAGTTGACTGGGTAAGTTTAAACCACCGGAATGGCTAGTCTAACTAGAAATTCTGACAAGAACATTACAGTTGAGGTGGTGGGAACATCACAACCCAGGCAAAGAACCTCCGTCCGCAATATCACCCTATGCGATCCCTGTCTCCGAATTAGAAGAAGTACTCAAGTTTCAAGGCACAGAATGCCACCAAGGAGACGTTTTCATCGTTCGAACTGGATTCGTCCGTTGGCATAAGTATGACAGCATACCATCTCTGAAAGAAACTTAGCTGATTGCCGTTATAGTCAAGCGGATAAGTCTACTAGAGCTCTCGGAACTAATCAGCAGCATTACATGATTGGTGTAGCAAATAACATGGAAACAGTTCGCTGGCTCTACTCCAAGCACTTTTCAGCCGTTGCTGGAGATACAATGGGATGGGAGGCTTGGCCTTATCCTGAGGACTGCTGCCTTCATGAGTGGCTCCTGTGCCAGTGGGGAACTCCAATCGGGGAGCTGTGGAATTTGGAGCAGCTGAGTGTTGTTTGTGCAGAAGTAAAGAGATGGTCATTCTTCTTAACAAGCGCTCCGATTCATGTGATCGGGGCTGTTGGATCTCCGCCATGTGTCATTGCTGTATTCTAATGACTATGGAGATATACCATACTGGATGTCAACTTGCGATATGGACGCATCTTAGATACACATAGAGATACAGGTATAGAGATGAAAAACTCAGGCCTAATAAGAGATTCCATCAATAGTATCGTAGTTTGGAACCTCCAACAAATCGAAAAAGTTCACTTGACCTGCATCCAAATCAGAAAACAGATCATCCAATACAAAAAGATTCGGCAACATTTCAGCGTTGGTGTAACTAAAGGCAGAATAATCGTTCGATAACATAGGAATATCGCCCAGTGCCTCCAGAGGTGGCCTAGATGTTGAGTCCATGGCACCTGCGATATCGAGTTCTCGTGTGTTTGATTGTCTTCCCATATCCTCCATGGTCCCCGAGTGTTGATTATATGGGTGGGTAGTGCTCTTTTGTTGCTGTGAAAGCCCAAGAGCAGGGCTAGCCGTCACCATACTCAGCTCTCCAGATTTGTTTCGGTTCGTAAGCTTTCTACGAAGTCGTTCAATAATGTCGACAAATAGTTTCAAGATCCAACCGCTAACGGGCCATGACTCTTGAAGACAAGTCAAGCCAAGCATGCATGTTCGTGCTCGGTTTTCGGCAAGTTCTCTCCCAATAGCTCCTGACGTACAAAGAGAGAAGACATGCATAGACAGAGAGTTGAAGAGAGCAGGGATACTGCTCGGAGGTCAGCTAACCAAAGATTTTCAAGAGAAGAGATCCAAAAGGGCACACGAACGTATGGATTTGGCAGAGGCGGACGAGAGAGGTAGAAAGGATATCTTCCATCACTCTCGTAACTTCATTCGCAGCAGCCATAGCTTTCGGCCGATCTCCCCAGAAGTTTGAGGCAGTCTCATCTCCAGTACCTGTAGGTCGACAGAGAAGGATCACACCAAAGCTGTGATGGTGAATATTAGTAACGCAACTTGGAATGTTGGGATTAAATTACATACTTGTAAGCCATGAGAAGCATTGCAGACCACAAGCCTTGGCCCGTCTCGGCATAGACTCCTTTGTATTGTAATGCGGCTGGAACCTGCTGTCGAAAGTTTTCCAAATCGTCTTCAAGTTGGGTCTTTTTGGTAGGGCTCGTTGATTGGACTGCTGCGTATCGCGACGCAATTATTCTGCTGACTATGGTTTAAAGCTGTTAGATTGGGTGTAGGCATAGGACAACCAAAAAAGGACTTACATATTATGGATAGACGTGCCATTTGACAGGCATAAATCGCTTCTTCAGCCCCTAGAAGATTCTCATTGGCCATGTCGCCGGGCTCGAGCATCTCTACATCACAATCTCTTTGGGAAATATGCTGTGGTCGACCGATAGAGCCACTCGTAAGCGTATCTCGAATGCGTATACACCACCATATGCGCCTCCAGAGCTTCGACTTCTCACTGCTCATATGAGATTTGGCAGTTCTATCAGTCCAAAGGTGTTAGCTGTTGGTAACAATCCAATATTGCCTAGGTATAAAGTGCATGTAGGTACTCACGATCTATGCATCCCTAGACTTTGTGCCAGGCTCACCGCGATGCCCAGCCAATGCCACGAATCCTTCTCGTCATTCGATCCGCCCCACCAGAAGCTCATCAGGAATACAGCAGCAACGTTATTCTCTTTGTCTGGATCCAAGTCGGCATCGTACAAAGCTTTGGCTTGTGTGTAAAAGACTGTACGAGCATGCTGCCTGCTCTTGCATCCTGTCAAGGCTATGTCCGCCTGGTCACATATTGTAGCAGCAACTAGCAACAGTGCATTCAGAACTAGCAAGGACATTTGGTTGCGAAGACACTTCTGAAGAAAGTCTTGCCGGTTGAGCAAGGGAAAGGCTGGATGGAACCATCGGAAATACACATCAAGCATCCTCTCCAAAGCATCTGGGCCCAGGCGATGGAGAATGTTCCTCTCACGCAACAGGGTCACTTGAACATTAGCAATGTTCTCACGCCCCATGTCTGAGGGATCAAACCCCTCAGCAATAGGAAAATGAAGGCGCTTCTGATAGTTGAGTCTATGACTCAAAAAGGGAGCCAGCACATCGTGGATGGCATAAGTAAGACTGAACGAATCGCCAGCGTAGAAAGTTCTGATGGAATCATTTATTGGCTGTTGTGTTGGACGAACGCTCTGATCGGCAATATGCAGATAAAACAAAGCACTGGAATCGGTAGGAGCTCGGCGTTCGAAGGATTGCGATAAGCCGTGTAGTAAATGGCCATCCACGGGTTCCACGGTCGAGACACCCTCAGAGATAAGAGTTGCATGACTATTGCTATGGTCTTTAAGAGACACCGGTGGAGGATCCTTTGGAGGTGATACAGAAGCCGGTGTTTCGCCTCGTGTTTCTCCTTCACTTGGCGGTATATTCTTCCGACGAACATATCTATGACACTCGTCAGCCCCGTCATCAAAATTGAAGAAATTGCTCCGAGAGATAACATGTCATAGTTCCGACCTACCGTCCGCGCTTTGAATCGATCAGGATACACTCCGCCTTGGCAATCTGGCAGCCTGAACAAGGAACTCCAGGAGCCGCATCACACTTGACCTTTTTCGAATTACATCGGCGGCATGCTATCCGTGTTCTGTCCTTCGTACGGAGCCGGTTTCTCCTGTCTTTCGGGTTCTCCATGGTGTTTGGAGCGCTTCCATCGCGGCATCTTACCACAACGCAAGTCCCTGCCTTCTATTTTATTCCCGGCCTCCGTCATGCGAACAATTACCACGTGCTCTTTGCTATAGTTCGCATAACATGGCATGTCATCCCAAATTCCTCTCCCCGCATTCGCTCGGCTTCTTCGGGGGGCGTTCGCCGGTCTGCACTCCACACCTGTCTCCGCCACCCATCTCGGCTCCAGATCTTTGTTGCCTCATCTAGGATGGATGGATGGCACTAGTCAGTCGACAGAAGCCGATGCTGCTGACCATTTTCTACAGAATACTCTTCTTCTACAACCCTGGTCTGCATTTCTGTACCGTACTTCTCAGGTTATGCATATGTCTCGGACATTGGGGAAGATCACGTTGAGCTTCGGCATAGTATAATCCTACCCGTAATGTAGGATGGTGATTATGGGTACTCTGAAGCCAGCACTACTAGTTGCTGATGCAAGTGCGGTGGGGACAATTCACTGCTCAGCTGGCTGTAACAGACCTCTATTCCCGGTCCTCTCTGACGGAGAGAAATAGAGGCCGAGAAGTCTTCTTCCAGTCAACCCACAAAGCAGTTTATTCCCGATTCTAGACCCAGAGCTAAGTACAAGTTTCCCTTTTAGGCGTAATGAAACCAGACAATTAAGCGAGACTCATGCGTGATCATTCAATTAATGTCTTCTATTACCGAATACAACCGGCTATGCCGTGACTCTATAGTTGCTACATGTTGAAAACACTTTCCCTTGAATACAAATTTGATGAGCTGGACAAATTCGCCAACACTCGAATTCACTGTCGTCCACCGTCTGCTGAACTTTACGATGAATTCATACTAGTTGGCTGTTAGTTATGCCCCTAGTTTAATTCAGAAATGGTGACGATGACCTACTTGATCAAAATTGTCTTTGGCTCTGTGAAAGCTCGTAGTGCCTGTTACAAGTTAACACCCGTAAAGCATAGAGGTGAGAACCCAAACCTACGTATTCACCAAACTCCCTACCAATCCCAGATGCCTTCTTTCCCCCAAATGGAGCTTGTATATGCATCTAGGTAGATAATCGTCAGCGGATGAAAAAGATGAATAGGTTGGGTCCCACTCAGCACGTACCATGCTCACACAATTGACTCCCACGACTCCAGAGTCAATTCGAGCTGAAACTCTCAGGGCCCGGTTGATATCTTTGGTAAAGACACCCGCCATCAAGCCATATTCCGTGTCGTTTGCAGCCTCAATCACTTCCTCTTCGGTGTCAAAAGTCTTGACGACAACAACCGGGCCAAATACTTCATTCCTGTAGATCTCTGCATCTGGCTTTGGGTTGAGAAACACGGTTGGCTCTATGAAGCAACCTTTGGTTCCAATTCGATTACCGCCCACCACTAGCTCTGCTTCCTCTTTTCCTCGCGAAATCATGGCGTGTACTTTTTCGAATGCCGCTGAGTCGGCCAAAGGGCCGTATCTTGTATCTGGGTCTTGAGGGTCCCCTATACCAAGTGCTGCTGCTTTCATCCGTTCGACGTATTGGGCAATAAATTTCTCAGATATAGACTTCTGCACATAAACTCGAGAGGCGGCGACGCATACTTGGCCGGTTCGAGCTAAGATGCCATTGACAGTCCTACGTGATATTAGTCTTGTGTATCAGATTATATATGACTGGTAGAGGTTTTTTGGCTTACCAAGTAACTGCATTGTCGATGTCCGCGTCTTCAAATACAACTGCTGGACTTTTCCCTCCTGTATGTTTATTAGATGTGCACGTTCGTTTATTAAAGGCAAGCTGTAATGCATACCAAGCTCCAATGTTACCCGTTTCAGGTTGCTCTGTGCAGCTGCAATTTGTATCTTCTTACCCGTACAGACTGAACCTGTGAAGCTAATCTAGCTATTGTTAGCACTCCATATCAACCATCAAGATACTTTACATGCAGCACTCACTTTGCGTATACGCATGTGCTCAGCTAGCAACGCGCCAGTCTTGCCATCACCTGGAAGGACTTGCACAACGCCAGGTGGGAAACCAGCTTCTTCAAATAACGGAGCCACAGCGAGAGAGCCTAGGGGGCTTTTCTCTGAAGGCTTCACGATGAGGACGTTTCCTGTTGCTAAGCATGGTGCAGCCTTGATAAACAATGATGCCACAGGTGAGTTATACGGGTTGATAGCAACGCATACACTATAGAGGCGTTAGACGATGATTAAATGGATTGGAAGCCGACTGCTTACCCAAGAGGCTCTTGCCGAACGAGTTTGACGAATCCATCATCAGCTGGAAAGTAGTCACCCCGTAACTTATCGGTCCAGCCAGCTGTAATCTTTGATAAGATCACTTCGATATCCCACTTTCAAACGTATCATGGGAAACACATACCATAGTACAAAAGACAATTTTTGATATAATTCTTTTCTCTGGTGGGGATTAGAGAGATGGGATTTCCCGTTGTAAGAGAGTCGAGATGCAAAATGTCGGGCAGTCTTGTCTCCAAAAGATCAGCCAGTCTTCTAAGACAGTCCGACCGCTGTGATGAGGTGAAAGTAGCCCACGGGCCATTGAAAGCTGCTTCGGCGTGTTTTACGGCAGCGTCAACGTCGACTTTGTCGGCAATTGGCATCTTCTCTGCAACCAATGTGCCATCTTTAGGATTGAGTAGCGACAACGTATCTATAGAGTTTGGCTCTGTATACTCCCCATTAATATACAGTTTGTTAAACAAAGTTTTGCTAAAAGAAATTGGAATAGACTGGCCAAGCAGCGCCATGATTGAGCTGGAATGCAAGTTGAATGGTGAATTCGGAACGCTTTAAGCCTCAGTATGGATGGTTCCTTGTGAGCACATGCTCATAATATTATATCAATGTTAATTTATTTTCCGTCATGACGTTCATGTTGCTATGCACAATCTTGTAAGATGTATGGGGCGTTGAGTGCCTAGCATAAAACTTCTCGGCTTCTTTCGGCGACTTCGAGAAGCCGAACACATAAAGCGAAATACTTGTACCAAAAATAGCCCGACGTTTCAAGTACATGGTATTATTAAGACAATCTATCATCGGCTTCTGCTTGCAATTGTGTGGATACCGGATGTTCCGCCAGAGGATGAAGACGATGACATGATGCAGCACGTACTGGATAGAAAAGGCTGACATGTTCGGCTCAACATTATATTTCAGGAATATAATTGGCATTGACTGTGTATTCATTGTAGCCTTTTTAAATCATTTGAAGTCCAAAAACAGCGAAAAATGGCAATGAAAGCTGTAGTCTTCCGGGGCGCTTTTGATGTTGGTGTTGAGACGAAAGCCAAGCCGACTATTCGCGATCAAACGGACGCTATTGTAAAAGTCACAATAGCTGGAATATGTGGAAGGTACTGTGTAACTTTTTCTTCTATCCAAGGCTTCTTCATGGCTCTGTAAAGTGGTTGCTTACAATTTATAGTGAATTGCATATGTATCGTGGCCACCAGAAGACGGCCACTGGTCATATTATGGTATGTTTGGCAACCAAACAATTTGAAACGAGGTTAACATATCTCCCACTACTAGGGTCATGAATTCATTGGAACCATTGATCAAATAGGCTCAGATGTGAACAGATTTGCAGTTGGCGATGAAGTTGTTTCCATATTCTCGCCCGTCTGGTATGTTCACCCACATATAATTCCACTCAAACGGTAATAGTAACATGCAACTAGTCTGAGATGTTGGTATTGTAAACAAGGTCTTACTAACCGATGTGTCGAGGGAGTCGCTTTTGGGACCCAAAAGCTCGATGGCGGGCAAGCTGAGTTTGTGAGAGTACCTTTTGCGGATGGCACTCTACACCTTGTACCAGAAGATTTGGATAGGTCTCTGCTCATCATGATGTGCGACATCTTTCCGACAGGTTATTATGGGGCCAGTCGGGCTATTGAAGGTTTACAAAACCAATTACAATCGCCACTGACAAGCTTTCATAAACAAAAATCGATTTCGAATGGTCAAAATGGGGACGCAAATGGTGATCAATCTCTTGATCCTCTCGGGTCCTCAGTCGTTGTTTGCCTCGGTTGTGGACCTGTCGGTATCTGTGCCATTGCCACTGCTCGATCAAAAGGGATTCAGACCGTTTTGGCAGTGGACAGTGTCGATGACCGCCTGGAAGAAGCTGCTCAACTAGGCGCAATTCCGCTCAACTTCTCCAAGCACGATATCTTAGAAGAAGTCAAGTCCCGGACCCAAGGTCGGGGAGCAGACGCCGTCATCGAAGTGGTAGGCAACCCAGCAGCTCTCAAGTCTGCCTTTGAGTTGTTGCGTCCATGTGGAATTTTATCTTCAGTGGGCTTTCACCAAGATGATCTTCCATTCACCGGGCTGGACTGCTATCTGAAAAACATAACGTAAGTCCCCTGTTTACTCATTTGGTGTGGCTGCAAACTTACACACCGATGCAGTATGAACTTTGGTCGGGTTCCAGTTCGTACAGTCTTCAATGATGCACTGCAATGTCTGAGGGAGAACCAACATGCATTAAAGAATTATGTTACTCATGAATTATCGCTGAATGATGCTGCTCTCGGTTATGACTTGTTCGAAAGGAGGGTTGCAAGAAAAGTAATACTACAAGTCTAATTAGACTAGATAATCCAGATCTTCAGCCTTTCAATGTTATCATTTCTACTCTTATAAATCATGAGCTCTTGCAAATCTCTGCCATTAGGCAAAGTTCATAAAAGACACAAGGCGATGTCGCGATTCCTCGCCTGGTACTCTGAATATCACGTCCATTCATTACGCTCTGCAGCAAGAATTCTCAATATTGCTCCACTGCACAAGTGCCTCGCTACTATTCACGCCTTTGGACTTGTCAGCATCAGAAGAGGTAAGTCTGCGTCTCTCGACATTCTTGGTCATGATGGGTCATCTTGCAAAACACGAGTCATGTAGATACCCTTGTCCAGACGAAGTAAGATTCGCGGGGAATAGCTTCGTCGGCGTCGGCTGCCGATCGCCGACAGCGTCACTTACCGGTGGCCCCTCGGCCGACTTAGACCGTCCAACAGCTCCTACCATCGGCTGGATCTCAAGAGGCCGATACTACGTGATCCTCGGGTGAGGTTATGAGACCTCGTTTGTCATTACATACAAGATAGATGTAAGGGGGCACTGTGGACTTTTGCTTAGCTGGTGGAAAGAGTAATGGCTTCGACATTACGAACCTCAGTCGTGTCTACAACAACAGCTTCTAGCTCTTACATCTTTTGAATCATCAATATCAGCCACAATGATTGAGAAACCGCACATTCGTATTGGCAATGTCTCCGGTGCCACGGGCGACCACCCGCATGCTATGGCACGCATGGTGCGCTCGGGGAATGTCCATGTCATCACGGGCGATTGGCTATCCGAGATGAACATTGCTTGGAATGCCATCACCAGGCAGGAGGTCGACGAGAGCCTAGGATATGAGAATGGCTTCTATCAGCAGCTTGAAGAATGCATCGATGACATTGTTGCGCAGGACATTCGAGTCGTAACTAATGCTGGTGCGCTGAATGTCATGGGCCTATACAACAAAGTGAGACGCCTCTGTGAGCAACGAGGATACGAGAACTGCGTGGTGGCCGCCGTATTGGGAGATGATATCACAGACTTGCTCGTGGACAAGGTCTCAGGCAAGAAGCATACAGGTTTCAAGCACCTAGACCATCCCGAAATCTCCCTTGACGACTGGAACTTCACGCCATGCGCCGGAAATGCCTACATTGGCTGTTGGGGCATCACAGCGGCTCTTCGAGCTGGTGCCAACATCGTTATATGTGGAAGATGCACTGATGCTTCTCCGGTAATGGGAGCAGCTGCATGGTACTATGGATGGGAAGAGGACAAATTCGACGAGCTGGCAGGATCTCTGCTAGCAGCCCACTTGATCGAATGCGGCCCATACGTCGTTGGAGCGAACTTTTCCGGCTTCAAAGACTTCCTTCCAGACCTCGTTGATCTTGCGTTTCCCATTGCTGAGATCGACTCTAAAGGGGGTAGTGTCATCACCAAAACCGCAGAGGGAGGAGGTCATGTCACAGAAGGGACAGTAAAAGCCCAATTGCTGTACGAGCTTCAGGGTCACCTCTATCTGAATCCGGACGTCGTCGCCGACCTGTCAGCCGTTGCTGTGCGGGAAGAGGCAGCAAATCGTATAAAGGTGACGGGTATCAAGGGATTGGCGCCTCCAGCTACGACCAAGGCCATGATAGCAGCCAGAGGAGGCTACCAGGCCGAAGCAACATTCTACATCAACGGATTAGACGTTGCGGAAAAGGCAACCATGATGAAGAACCAGCTGGCTCATATTTTCCGTGACAGTCGGTTCAGCAAACTCAGCATTGAGCTCTATGGGACACCAGCCGAGAATCCGTCATCTCAGCAGGCTGGTACCGTGTCACTGAGAGTGTTTGCACAAGCTCGCAAGAAGGAAGATATTGATGAAATCAACTTCAAGATCCCGATATACGCCTTGCGTATGCAGAGCTATCCCGGCTACCACATGAACCTCGACTTCCGAACAATGACACCACGGGCATTCATGGAGATGTTCCCTGCACTGATGCCGCTGTCATTGATAGATCACCACGTCCAGCTGAGCACCGGAAAGGTCATCAAGGTTGATCCACCAAAAATCACATCAACATATCCCATAGTACGGCCATCGGCAGACACAACCCATCCCGTAGACCTTTTGTCTTTTGGCCCAACCGAGTTCGCTCCCCTTGGCAGCATTGTCCACGCAAGGTCGGGCGACAAAGCCGACAATTCCAACGTGGGCTTCTTTGTTCGAGATGCCTCAGAGTATCCATGGCTGAGGACCCTATTGAGCGTTCACAAACTCAAAGAACTTTTGGGCGAGGATTGGCATCGCGGCAACCCGAACAGAAGGGTAGAGCGAGTAGAGTTTCCCAACATCAACGCCGTCCACTTGTGAGTACTATATCTTACTTTGCACATTAACGCATACTGACGAATGATTCTAGTCGGATACTTGACAATCTCAATGGAGGCATAGCGTCATCGGATAGAATTGATGGGCTTGGAAAGGGAGTTGCCGAGTATTTGCGCAGCAAATATGTGGATATACCAAGAGCATTCTTAGAAAGAGGCCGGATATGAAGTCAATCTTGTACTAGTACATATATTACATACAGTGTAGAATAAGATGTTAAACACCTGGATCTCCATTTTGCGACTTTACTTTGCCAAATGCATGCTATTGTACAGATTCATTGATCCATGCCCCATTCATTACCCATGAATCTGTCATAGCCCCCAATTTCGCCCAACCAATCATTGCTAAGCTGCAAGATAGCATCATCTCCCCATGGCATATTATACATCCTTTGGAGCTCAGGTAGGCAGTCTCGGAGAGCATTATCGGCTGCCAGAGGCGTCCCGAGGCTGAACGCCTGCCTTCCACTGTCTTCTTGTAAGCTATTGTCACTAAGCCCCGTAAAAGCCGTCTCTCGAGAGTGATATCTGCCATTGTTAGATCCGACTCCCGCCAAGGTAGCCTCAGAGACAAGACTATTTTGCACATTGATATCATTGCTTGGAGTTCGGTTTGAAGATTGCATAGCTGTCATTGCCGAATGGTTGTCTTGCGGAGCGGCTAAAGAGCTAGATTGGCGAGTATGTGAAAGTGCTTCCACAGCGTCCTCGACGAGAGCATCGCTGAGGCGGTCAAATACTTCATGGCAATTCTTTTGTGAATTACACCTCTCGGAAACGCCAACAATGACGTTTGAGCACGCTCGACAGTCGTTGACAATCTCAACAATGGTCGGCTCCTGAAGCAGCTGGAATAAATTTCCATCGCCCTCTCCGCCATTACGACGACGTCTCTTTTCTCGGAAATGTCGACTCAAGGCATATATGTAGGATATTCCGGCCATGAAAACCGCATGAAGCACCATCCAAGAGAAATTGATCTTGCGCGATCGGAACAGGTAAGCGTAGAGTGTAATCGACTGCCTTGCTGCTGAAAAAACATGCTGTAAATTAGATCCATCTCGTCCATCCGAGACTGTAAAAGCTGACGGACGGTAGAGGAGGAGAACACCATTGTGGTATAGCAGCTCATACCAAGCTTTTGATCGAAAGCTAGATCGGGCCTCGGCAAGGGGAGTCGACAAGTCCATATCCGGAGTGTTGAGACAATTTGTTTCTGCTCGCCATGCGTTCAGTTCGGTAGCAAGTTGATCACGTTTCTGGTAAAAATCTGCCGAAGATTGAATACCACCTTTGACGCCGCGATGCAGTGAAGTGAGGCACCGGCCGCAGATATCACGATAGCGCACGATATGAACAAAGATGGCCGTGCGATATCGAGATGGGATTTGTGAGGAGTCCCGGTCACTTCCAGGACTCAGAGTAGCCACGCTCGCTGTTTCTTCAAAGTCATCGGTCGGGAGTTCGACATCGATATCTTCAATACAGATAGCCAACGGGCGTCCTAGTGTTACGGATATGACTCTATAACATTACATGTTCCTAATCAGCAGATATTCTAGAGAGTCAAATGATTTTTGGAAGGGCTAACCTGTCGAGAGCATAGACGCTCCAGAAACACCTTCGACGAACTTCGTTTTCCTCATATTTAGGCGATAAAAAAGACACATCGGCAGCATCACGTCTCGGGCCAGCTGTCCGGTACGTGGCCTCGCGATGCAAACCAAGCTCGAAACACATGCGCACCGCAATACCAACAATGTGCCAGAGACCTGATTATGGAGCCGTCAGCTACAGATGGCTTCCCTTGGCAAGAGGAACTTACTATCAGAAGCATGATTTGTTGAATTGCTCAGTCGGAACTGGCAGAGCAGTAGCATGGCTTGCAAAGCCCGTAGTCCGCCCTCAAACAGCACGGCATTGAGATAGTCGGTGGCCTTTTGAAGATGCGTTTCTGCATCCGGTAAGACCCTCCAGTTGAACTTGTATACTTGAGATGTGGCGATGGCCAGGATCATGTGGAACATGAACATCTCAAAGGGGTGCGTCTTTTCAAAGCTGGCATCGCTATAGATGCCATCCACAACGGCCCTGACCGCCCGCGGATGTAAAAAGGGGTAGCTAAGATGATCGTGGGCCAGATATGCTTCGATGAGACTTCGAGCAAGCTGTTCCGCCGGAAGAGAACGATCCCCGGTGTCCCAATCTGTCCTTCCGGGACTCCGGCGAGGAGGCACAGAAGATACCGATGAGGCTGGTGCGTCTCTTTCAACATCGACCGCGACGCCGGCTCTCACCAGACTGGCAAGAATGATGCCACTCGTCGGCCCTAGGAAAAGGCTATCACCGCCAACACTGGTAGAAAGAAAGGTCACCTCATTCGCAACTTCGTTATCGCTGGCGACAGAAGACCGCGAGCTGGATCGATCTTCCGCATCTCCTGCCGCTCTGTGGGCGACCATTCTATGGGCCTTGTTGGCCGATGTAAGTGCCTTGTTGGCCGCCTCAAGCTGCTGGATTCGGCGCTCAAGAGTCTGGACATGACTTCGCGGGAATGTGGGCTCTTTGACCCTCTCAGAATAGACACACGCAGACCTTGACTTCTTGCAAGGACTGCATTCCGGCCGTGTCTTATCGCACCTGGTCTTGCGCCGATGGCAGCGGTCGCACGCCTGAATCTGGGATGCATCGACGCTCATCTCACCTGGCCTGACATTGTCGCTGGGACCTTCGGAGGGACCTGGCCGATGATTTCGGAGAAAAACGATGTCGTCCTTGGCCGAGATGGTCTGAACAGGGCCACTATGGGCTGGAATTAGCTGCTAAAACGCGCCCTCCAGCCGGGCTTTTTATCCACCCGCTGATGTTGAGGAGTTGTCGGTCCGATCTCCGCACAGCGGCAAAGGGCATCCGAACACGGCCTCTGTTCACATACAAAATTGGGGGATACTTTCACTGTTGGCAGCTAATATCTGATGTTTGAGGACATTCAAAACGAGCTTGACAAACAATTACGTGAAATGGTAATTCTATTTACAATTACAATAGGTGATTACAATGTCTATTGCGCTTCTTAGTACTTGAAGAAGACGCCGTTCCCTGCTCCGCCGTTCCGGTTGCGCCACACATAGTAGCAGTGCATGCAGACACAAGAAGCCGAGACAAAGAGCAGCAAGCCTGCATTGGTCCAGTGTCCGGTGGGATATCCCTTCTTCGCTTCGTCGGCCTTGTAGATCCACACGCCGACAATCTGGCCCGGCGCCCCCATGGAAATGTTGAGCGCAATAGCCAGGCCAATTGCGGCAGTTGAATACAAATTTGAGGAGAGCCAGCCCAACAACGGGGGGATACAGGCAAATGAACCGCAAGTTGCGATAATGAGGCAGCCGTAGCGAGACTGGACCGCAGCGTTAGTTGGGAGAGCGATTCAAGAAGGAAGACGAGTATGACATACTGCAAAGTGATCGGCTGGAAGTGTAGCCGAAGCAATGAAACCTACAGCTCCAAGGAGGGAAAATGCGGCAGAATGCAAAGCACGTCTAGGCCATGGTCAGCGATTCAGTGATTCACAATTTGCCGTTGATCAACTCACTTGTTGAAGTGGTCGCCAGACCATGAAGCGAGCAAGGTCACAACGTAAGCTGCTGCGTAGGGGGGCACAGTCATGAGCTGGGCCTTGAGATCGGTAAACTGATTGGAGGATGTTTATCAGTGTCTATTTCTCGAATAAACATAATTTTACGGATCGAGAGGATCAAGCTTACTCCTAATCCAGCAACAATGGACGGCGTGAAGAGCGACAAACTAGAGAATGGGGTAGAAATGCCAAAGTAGATCTGGGACAACAGTCGTCAGTGGTGATTCGTTTCAGATGCATAACAGAAACTCTCTTACAAAGTAATGGGCCCAAAGTCTCCATTCAAAGAGTGTGGACTTGGCTTCCGCCCACGTTAGAGGTTTGCCGGATCCATGAGAACCCTGGTCAGAGAGCCGCAAAGCCGCAAAGTCTTTCTCCTCGGTCGATAGCCACGATACTGTCTCGGGGTAATCCGGGAGGAAGAACCATACCAAGAGGGAAGAAGCCACGGATGGAGCTCCCTCGATGATGAAGAGCCATCGCCAAGCAGAGATGCCGCTCACTTGGTTCATATGACCGACACCAAAGGCAATCGCGCCACCGAACGCGCCGGCCAGCGTGGCAGATGCCAGAATGGCAGCAACTCGAATCGATCGTTCATCTACGCGGTACCAGAATGTCAAGTAGTAGACCAAGCCGGGGAACAACCCTTAACGAGAACTATTAGCAGCCGTACGCAATTATTCTCAAGACATAATGATATCCACCACTTACCTGCTTCAACAACTCCCAGGAGGAATCGCACCGCCGTTACTGACGCGTGGTTCTGTGTCCCAGCAATGCCCATCGTGATGGCTCCCCAGGAAAACATGAGGAAGGCAATCCAGCGGCTCGGCTTCAGCTTCTTGAGGAAATAGTTGGACGGAACTTCAAAAATCGCATAGGCAATAAGGAAAACCATGAGCGCGATTGTGTACTGGTAGTTGGTCATGTGCGTCTCCGTCAAGAGGTCATTGCCTGTGGACGAGTTCAAGACCTTTGCATTTCCAATGTTTGACCTGTCAAGGTAGCACAGGAGATAGATTCCTGCCGTGATTGGAATGATCCTCAAGTCTTGCTTCCGAACCAATGCCCTAGATCGAGCAGCGTCAATGTGTCCCAATGATCCATCGCGGATATCAGACAGATGCTATAGTAGAATTAGCAGAGTGCTGGATAGAGATTCGAGTGTTGGTTGCATTGCATACCTCCTTGGTTGCTTCAACGTCCTCGTCCATGTGAACGCCGGCGAATTCTTCCTTCTCCGCCATGTTTGCTGCGAGAGACTGATTGAATCTTCTTGGAAATTCTTCTAGAATTACAACCGTCCAGCGAATGGTGACACCCAAGACGCTCAATGGATCGACTACCCCACAGATTCAACAATTTCGAGATCGAGCCTTTGTACATATAGCATTCTCTTCCCCAGGAATTACCCCAGATCTCTCCGCACCTCGAATAGCCTAAAGAAACAGTCCGCCTTTTGCGAATATCGGCGGCATGGGGCCGCTTTCGGCGGAGAGATGCCGACAACGTGGCGCTAACTGCTGACCTGGACGTTTGCACTACGGGCTTACGGCTAGGAGAAGCGGAACTCTTGTTAGCGACAGCAGCCTCTAGAGTCTATGGATGTTGTAATGCCATCAATGACAACATGGAAGTCGATGAGAACTAGACCAATGCTGGATGCGGAGTGCTTGCTTCAGCGTGGCCGCGTCAAAAGTGCATTTACCTTGTAAACTCCAACTTAATATCTAGTCTAAGCGGCCTTGTCAAGCCGATGGGTCAAACAAGCTGAGATTTACGGAATGGTTCACCGACACATTTTCGGGCCCCGGAATTCGAACGGAATTTATGAGCCCAGTTGTCGTTGTTTCCAATAATATGCCGAGCCAATCATCTCCACAATGGCTGAAGCCTACTCGGGATCTCACTCTGAGGTTCGCCCACAATACGATGTGGGGTCGGCATCTTGATGTTCTCCTGGCTTGGATCTGGTTCATCACCACGGACTTTGTCGAGACCGTTCCTCATACCTGACCCCCAGGTTTTTTGGTCTCTCAACCCCTAGCCAATGGTTTCTCTCGCTATGGAAAGGGAAGTAATAGAGGAAATCACTTGCTGAAACAGTGGTTCTATGTCTTAATACAACTCGTCAACGCTTATATACTTGCCTGTACCACTTTGGTGCCAAGTACCGCATGTCTCAGACAGCAAGATTTACAGGTGACCGAGAAGGCGGTGGTGAACCAGGCTGTACAGGGTGATAAATGAGCCTCGAAATTGCAAGTTGTCATTAGATATGGTCATACTGTAAGCATATAAGGCGGTGAACAATAGAGAAATTACATACTCTTGCTCACACAGCCAGCCCGCTAAGCAATCCCTTAGCTATAACCTCATATACGGCGTCAGCACTTATATTTCACCAAAGTAGAACAGATCCGACACTCTCTTCAGCTTCACTATTCCAAGTATTCTTAGTTTAGCTCTCAATTTCCCCGCTGATCTGGAAACATTCTAGAACAATCACAAGGTAGACAAGAGGCCTTCTATGGTCGCAACAACGGGCCTATTTATGGATGCAACAGCTAGGTCAGAGGAAGGCTACGCCCCAGCCTTTGGTTCAAAATCCAGAATCAATCCGTAGCTCAACCTGATTGGCCACAGCCGACCAAGTCA